AGCGCACGGCTCCGGCAGCCGACACGCCGGGAGAGCGCGTGCACCAGCCGCCCCACCGACACGGCGCCGCGCGTTTGAGTATTCATCAGCAGCGAGGTTTGCCTTTAAAGACCAGGCACGAAAAATTTACTCAGGAAAAGAACCGCTACCAGAACGCCAACTGCTGCGACAAAAACCAATAAACTGGAGGAAACGCTCCACTCGGGGCAGATCCTCCAGCACCTCCGAGCACAACCGGACACCTTTCCGCCTTCCTCGCCGCTCCCCGTTGAGCCGCGGGACCGGAGGAGACACAGCTCATTTCAGCCCCAACAGAGAACTACTCTGGTTTTTTTCTTTCCGTCATCACCTTAATGGTCTTTTAATGCCTCTCCCTTCCCTCTCACAACTCTTTCGATCATCCGGCAGGACGCTCCTCCGACCTCGAGGAACCAGGCAGGGCTTGTAAGCGAGGGCTGCCCCTAATCTACCACCAGGCCTCTAAAAATCAGACAATATCAGGGTTCAGTCCCAAAATATGCGCTCAAACCTGAGCAGCAACACCATCCAATGAAAGCCTGTTAAGCCATCCCGGCACGTGCCCGGCTCCCACCAGCGTTGGCACCACCTACCTGGAAATACGAAGCCAAAAGACTTCGGTTAGGGATGAAACAAAATGGATGCGGCTTCGCAGGACCAACGTGCAACGGTGGCGTCGAGGCTCGGTGGAAAAAAAGCCTCCGAGGCTCTTAATAGACTCCTCCGCATCGGTCTTCGGTCTAATTTTAGAGAGAGGAGGCTTGGAAGCGCCTCTCCTCACACCCTCCAAATTCCAAATGCTGGTGCTGGTCTTCAGAAGGATTTCGGGCATATTCTGGATACCGTTATCACAAATAACCGGGTAACGTTCTGTGGCCAAGGGGCAGAGTTGCAAAACTTATCGCGATCCAAAGTTTAGCATTATCCCCCGTTCCTCAATGCATCTTAAATAATCCTGTCTTTGCGAGGGCTGAGAGTGAGCAATGAGAAGCCGTAAGTCGCATTTATATGAAAATCATAGAGAATAAAAAAGAAAAAAGTAATAAATCCCAGCACTGTAGCCTCTTCCCCGACCCACTTCCCACGGATGGGGACAGGTTTTCTGAGGTCTGTCCACTCAACGAGGCGCTTGATAAACCGAAAAACATCCGACCTGGGATAAACACCCACTCTGGTTTTGCACAAGAGCATTAAGGTGACAGGAGGGAATTGATTAATGACAGCAAGGAAGGCCAGTTTCCAGTTTAGGCAGGGAAAGGAGAGCAGGAAAACTTGGGACGCTGCGCTCGGCTGGCGATGTTCGAGGAAGGGCGACAGTCACCATCAGCCTCAACTGCTCCAGAGAGAGCTGGAAAGCACCAGGACAAGCACCAGGTACGCAGCTCCATTTTAAGGTGAGCTAAACTTGATGTCCATTCATTTCCAGCTTTAATTAAAAAAAAGAAAAAAAAAAAAAGGGGGGGGGCGGAACAAGAAGCACCACGCATCCACGGGCCACTGGCATACCTCCAGCCACGACGCTTTGTCGTCCAGCCCAACCGCACCGTGAGAGCGCAGGCAAGCAGGGATGTCCGAGCCCCCAAAAGCAAGACCCCCGACCGTCGCACCAGGAGGGTTGACGTCCCAATTTCAGAGTAATGCTCTTTAAGGGGAAAAAAATAATTTAAAAAAAAAAAAATTATCTCTTTTCCCAATGACCCAGATAAGCATTTCAACTCCTGCTCTCACAATAAGGATGTGCCACGGCAAAATGAGCCTCTCCCCAGGCAGACGCTCCACTGGGACACGTGCAAGAACAGCAGCTCGCTTTTCCACCGCTTTCCACGGAAAGGAAGAATATTTGTGATTTTCTTTTTTTTTTTTGAATAGCCGAATTACCTGAAATACTGCAACCCATCAAGAGAAATGACTTGAAGTCTATCTCCAGCAGTGGAGGAGAGAAACACGGGCTCATCGCAACATCTCACTTCCCAGGCCCCGTCACTCGGTACATCGCCCCGAGATGCTCCAAACTAACTTACGGAGCAGCGATACATCATCCCACGTGTTTTGGTTTTTTTTTTTAAAAACCCTGCAAAATAACCTACATGCAACCAAAAAAAAAGGCATGACAAACGAAACCCCAGCCATCTGTAACCGGGCTCCTCCGAACCACCTCGAGATTAAGGAGAAGAAATCCACAAAAAACCCCAAAACACGGCTTTCCACGGAGGGATCGCTCGCAGCACTGAGGAGCGGCGGAAGCAAATGGATCCTCAAACCGCGGCCGCGGAAAAGTACATTTCTTCTCCATCTTCCAGCGGCCGATCCAACGCTATAAAACTGCAGCGGCATGTGGCAGGGCCTGATAGGTTGAATTTCTGCGCGCGAGGTGGATAGCTTTACACGGGGATTAGATTTATGGCCAATCTCTTTTTTTTTTTTAAAAAAAAGAAAAAAAAAAAAAAAAAAATTTTTTCGTGGGTGCCGTGGTGCCTCGGCGCAAACACGACGCAGAGCCGCGTGTGTGGTGCCCGCACATCAGCAGCTTTAAACACCACCCAAACCAAAAGCTCCTTGTAAAAATAAAAGTCACTTTCCATGGGGTTATAAAAAAAAAAAAAGGATTTTTTTTTTTTTTTCCACATCCCTCGTTCTTGTTATTGCCAAAACGTTTTAAAAATCAGCAATTCTTACGCCCGAGCGGTGCAACAGGACTCCTTCCGAGCCGGGATGAGCGGGGCCGCTTGCCAAAGCTCCCCCCTCGCCAGGTCCCGAAAAGGGGCGAGTTATCCAGGGCGAGATATTCCCCTCCACGCTCAGGGTCCGGTGAGCGGTTTGGAGTTGGTGGAGGAGGGGAAAGCATAAAGCACAGCGAATTGTGGATTAACAGGGAAATAAATAAAAAAATAAAGCTTCAGCGATTGTTTTTCCTTAAATGCTGAAGGGAGCAGCGAGCGATGAAAGCAGCTCAGTGAATGACTCCGGGAAACTCCTCTCATTTAAACCCCCCCCCTCTCTGCATCTTCCGAGCGGTTGATCACGAGCCCCACGCTGCTCCCTCGGAAGAAAATATTGGCAGAAAAGACACTTTCAAGAGCATCTTAAGTTTAATTAACTCTGCCGAGTAGATATTTCTGCTCTCCCCCTCCTAGAAACGTTTGTAAGCAGGCAGTGATCCCTTGCCCGGCGCCGGAGCAGCCGGGAGCGCGGCAGGGAAAGGGATGCTCTGAGCGGAACCGGGTGCCATGGTCGGCGGGAGCCCGTTAGCCGTCGGAAGAGGAAGCCAGGCCGCTCTCGGCACGGGCAAACCGCAGCGCTGCAAAGATGGATGCTCCCTGTCAGCTGCACGTCACATTCGGTTTCACGCAGCCTCGTGATCAGGAAAAGCGCCGAAGCGAAGGTTGCACCTCGCGTTGAAGATCTTAACGGCTCGGAAACCAGGTCGCCGGCCCCGAGATGGGTCTTTTTTTGGCTGTTTCAGGAGAACCGGGAACGAAACAAATTCCAGGCACTGCTCCTAAATCACGGCGAGGCAGGGGGATCCCTACAGAGACCCCTCCAAGGGGGACACGAACCCCGTTTCGGATAAGGTCCAAACGCGGTGAAGGCACCTGAGGGTGCGGGGCCCCGGCAGCTCGACGGCTGCACCGAACTCCCCCGGCACCCACGCGAGCCGAAATCGG